TGTCTGGCACATTCCCCGCGTAAGGGGTTCAGGGAATGGCTCACATGAGGGGTCAAGGCTCAAAATGCTCAGGCAGGCCACGGTGAAGTCGACGATGGGACTTCCGACTCCTGTTGCTTACAGGCAGGTTTGGGTAGGGCTGCCTAAAACCGAAACACTAAATCTGGGGTTGGGGACGTTGGGGGTAGGCTTAAGATGTAGTCAACGCAATCATTACCAAAAGAAGGTCCGAAAAAGGTCAGACTGTGAAGAAGCCTTCCAACTCCCATATGGGCATTTCTCCAAAAAACAAGGTCTCTGCTATATACTCCAGAGAACACCATGACCTCCATGGTTCGGAGTTTCAAAGGAGGGCCCAAACATTTGTAGGACCTGATTGGCACCCTCCGCTCTTGAAGGAGGATACATGCACCCAATCACCCAGAGTCAATCATTGCAGGCGACTCGAAACATCCACAGACCTTTTGCAACAGGGGAAGAGTCCTTGGACCCGAAATCCTTGCACCCTGAACGCTTGCCTCCTGAATTCTAGGAGCCCCCAGATTCCCAGATCCTGCATCGCTAACCCCAGTCCTGATTGGTTTGCTCTTTGTGTGGGGAAGACGCTTGAAGGGTTCGCCCATAGACCTCCGGGTGCGGTACAGGGCTGAAGTTCGGGGAGTTCAGGGTTTCAAAATTCAGGTTTTGATGTTTCGGGACTTCGAGATTTGCAAGCTTTGGATTTGAGTAACAATCATGCCCTGGCTGACGAATGGCCGAATGACCTACGCCCCAGGCCGCTGGACAACCAAAGAAGCATTGCTTCTTTGGTTGTCCAATGGCATGGGTCCGGCCACTTGTCAGCCAGTGCATGTTTTTTAAAACCTCAATCCAGCAGAGTGAATGCGGCGCGTTAACGGCTCTGGCTCAACCTGTTCACGCAGAGCATCCATGGCGTCTTAACACAGGCAGGAACGTCTTCTTTGCTTGAGGACTTACCCGTCACCCCACTTCCCCACAGTTATACCTCCAAACTGCAGGCAATTCCTACTAAGCGGCTGGAAATCCTACTAGACTGTAAGTAACTCCTACTGAGCTGCCGGTACCTCCGGCTGAACTGTAGGTAACTCCTATTGAACTGTATGCAATAAAGGTTGCAAGAAGTATCCACCTAGCGGCGCTCGGCCTTAAGGATGTTGGGTTCAGGGCTTGAGGTTGATCTTGGGCATTGGGGTTCAGGGTTGCAGGGCGGCTTTTGAATGAGCTGAGAGGAGCTGCCGTCATGCATGCAATGCCAACGGACTCATGTAATGGTGCTGCGGGGTGGGTGACCGCTTGTTCGAGGACTTGCAAAACCGGCTCGCACGCCTCCGTCCTCCAGGCCCCAGCCGTTCGCGGAGTCCTGCAACATGGTCTCAATGTCTTAATCACGGTCTACGGTTGGAGTTTTGAGGTGGCAAAAATTTGGTGTATACCTGGACCCTGGACCCCGATGTCCTTCCTTTCTGGGTTCTGCCCTGTTCCGTTCTGGAGTAATGTTGGAGCTGCTGATTGAAGAATCTCCTATCATGTGATAGATTTCCAGGCCAATGATATTAGAGGGCCCTCTTTACTGCGTTCAGGTTTTGGGGCCCTAGCGACATCCAGACCATCCCCTTTCAATCAATCCCCAGGAGCCCGCAGAATCAGAACCATGGGTGGCTTGAAAAGAGCCCTGTTTTTGGTTCTCTGCCCACCCAACCACGCCAAGATTGAAGGGGTCCCACATTTAATCTCCCTGAGAAGTAGGACATCCAGGGCCCAGGTAAGCCTCGGGTGTTTGAAATTACGCGTCCCCTACGGTCCCGTTTTGGGGTTACCTAAAGCAACCGGCTATTTCGCCAATACATATACTTATGAGCACATATCTACATATGTGTATATATATGTATGTATATGTATATATATATATATATGTATGAGAGGGACCCCCCGTTCAGGGTTCAGTGTAGGATAGGGATTCCGGCATTAAGTTAAGGTTGTCAGCTTCGCGGCTTAGGGTTTGCAGGGGGTGTTGCGTCAGGCTTCAGCGTCTGGCCTTTTGGCAACTTACGTGTTGGTAGTAAAGAATTGGAGAGGGGAGAATGGAATCAGAAGTGGAACGATGACGTTAAATTTGGGAGGATATGTAGAAGCCACAATAAGGATCGATTCCTTCGTTCCCTGCTTACCACCCGGGAGGCAAAGGGCCATGACCGCCAAAAGAACAAAGGAGAAATCTGAAAAGAGTGGGGCCCGCAAGAGTCTACACTTCCTGTAATAGTTGCTAGAAATTGCTGGTGACTTCTGAGTTTGTAGGACCTCAGCAGCCTCATCATGAAACTCCCTAGAAAGTGATGGACAAGCAATGCGAGCGCATATGTGCAATGGCGCAAACCCAAACTCATGTGAAATGCCTTACGCTGCCTGCGTAGCCCCATTCTTCCAAGCAGTGATTGAAGGTATCCAGAAAGAGGTGTCCGCAACATTTGCAAAAAAAGAAAGCGCAAGATCAGTTTGAATGCGTGGACCTGTTTGTGCCTTATACATGAAATGGAGAGTGTCAGGGGAACCGCAGTTCTAGTTCTATATAGAATCTTGAGGCTTGGAAACAACGGCGCAAAAGCCGGACACCTGAGCCCGAAGTAGTCTCCCTGCCTCCAGAAGCCAACTCCCCAAGTCTACACCATGAGTCCACAACGATTTTTCTCACACGCAACACCCCCAAAAGAAGATATCACATAACTTTAAAGCACCCCCAAAACCTTTGCTAATTTATGATTCTGACCTTTTTCTTTGGTGGGTGGGGCCCCATGTCCGGAAGACGAAACACTCGTGCGTCCCGTAGCATTGGCTAACCGGCCTCCCCAGACAACCGACTTTTGGCGGTGTGTGGTTTGGGCTTAGGAGTTTGGGATTCATTCTTGAAGGTCTGCTTTCTCGGTTCTGCGGTACCTGTACTTGCTAGAAGTTAGTAAGAATGAAGAACTGAGTTAGAGCATCGTTCTCAAAGAACAAATACCATGGACATCTATTCTCGTGTTTCTGTCCAGTGGCAATGCATTGTACGCTTAGAGTAGGGCATTCAGGCTCTATATATACTGGATGCTAGTCGTTCAAAACACTGGGTCCCAACATTGCCGTAAGGCAGGCTCATCATTTAATTCTGTTAAGGAGGTCGAAAAACACATTCTTAAAACATCTTGGGATTGCAAATGGGGTGTACCTAAAGATTACACATTGCCTTGCGCAGCAAAAGACGCGAGGCTTCACGCCTAAGTGCCTCTTGGGGTGTGCCGCAGGAATGCTGGAATCAGGGTTATATACGGGACATATAGGGTTTAATAGGGTTAAATGGAGGTTATATAGGGGTTATATAAGGATAAAGGAAAAGAGAATGGAAAGATGCGATGGAGCTTCGGAGGCTGTAGAGGGCCTCTATCAGGATCTTGTAGGCCTATGTACTTGCAGGAGTTCCTGCAAGCCAGAAGTGCCTACTTATGGCCCATTTCAGCTGCACCTTGTAAGGGGCCCATCTTTTGGTTGACCCAGGGTTTAGGGTTTGGGGTGCCTTGGTTGAAAATAGTTTTTTCAGGCTTTGCTTCCTTAATTGGATGCGCGCGATGAATTTCGGTAGGCCCAGTACGAAAGTACGAAACAGTTGTGTTATCTGCAATACGTAATGATTATCAGGAATTACAGGATGACAATACCTGGTTTTGACTTGAAATAATCCCAGTTTCCATGCCTATCTCATGTTCAATGCTTTTCCATGTGGTTTTCCATATTATGACTCTCCACTACTGGATATAACTGGTATTTCCCTACCCAGCGAAGACATCAACGTGCGTTTCACATGCATGAAGTCAAGGATGCTAAGAAACTCTCCCAGCCTCACTTGGAGGTTCATACACGGTCCAGGTTTAGGGTTTGGGGTTTGGGTTCAGATGTAACTGGAACTATAAGTCAAGAAGGATGACTATAATGATATGGACGTTCAGGGTACGTTTGACACTGTGCACAAGTACCCCAGAACCACCAAGCACAGCATCAGCTTTTGAAGCTGCGGCACAGTGTGTGTCTAAAGGCCAGGAATGGCGAAAACTGGATTGAAAACTTGGCTGCCTGCTTGGGCTGCCGGGGACATTAACGTAAACTAGGGAGCCAGACCGGTTTGGGAACCCAGTGGTGGGTATCAATTAGTTCAAAATTGGGGTCCACCTTGGTAGCCCCTAAAGTACTGTTGCTCGAATGACTGAGAGCGCCAAACAAAGCCTATAACTTTGAGAAACCGCTTGCATTCTTTGCTTGGACCCTTGTTCTAACCTACCAACTCCCGCGCACACTCTGTGATGTGCAGTGCCAGCTGTGGCTTTGCTAACTTCACTCCCCTAACTCACGTGGAACCCCATATGAGAGGACCGTAGTCTTTTGAGGGACCCTTGTGGGGTTCCATGCTTGTTTTGGGAGAAGGTACAAAAAAACTCCACTGTCTGTTGGGTAGAATGTGAACTTTTTGTGGTAGTCCTGGTGCACTTGCTACTCTGCTCATCTACTTTGATGGGGTCACTCTACGTAGCGTAGGATCCTAGCAGCTGCGTGTAGACAGAAAGTCTGTCCTAACCAAAAAACTCAAACATGAAATGCTACACTGCTGCTTGTAAGCGCGATCTCCTGACTTGGATGTGTAGTTCTCAACAAGCGGTCGCAAAACAAGCGGCCGCCTGCTGGTGTCTCGTTGCTGTGCTATTGCTGCTTGTCGCAACCATGCCACACACATTGTATTGAGGTGCTCGTAGCTGTTTCACTATACTTTACCTCTTAAAGCATGACTGCCTGTGTTGTCTACCCAACAGTCATCCAGGCTGATGCAGAAACGTTTCAGCAAGGACCTTCCCACAATACAGGGATTTTAGATCCTCAAGCTTCATCTGCCTCTGCGCCAGGAAGGAGCAATCAGTTACATGGGCAGCCCTCCGTAGAGGAGCTGCCCTTTACGAAGATCAGGTCATGTAAGCCACTCCCCCTCGGCTCACCACGTCCTGCGCTCCACGGCTGTAGTACCGCTGCTCCAGGGCGGGCTGCTCATCGTAGGGGTTCTTGAACAACTCGTAGAGCTCATGGACAACAGTATAGTCGCCCTCCGCAGCTTTGGTATAGGCCTCCACGAGCATCCACTCTCTTGGAACATACTTGGGGTTCACCACCCGCAGGCGCGAAATGATCTGCTGGCGCGCCTCGGCGCCCTCTCCCTCTGCAGACACCACGGCTGTGGCCCACTTCCCCAGCCATGCCTCCCACTCCTCTTGCTTGCTCGTGTAGCCCTCTTAAAATGTTGGGTTCGTTTGTTGACAAGCATAGAAAATATTCTTAGACAGGCTTTGTCCGGAATTGCCGAGTCCTTCTTGAGCTCTTCGGACGGGGGCTCGTAGAATGCACGCTCCAGACTTTCAAGCGGGTCATCTGCACCTGATTCCTTAGTACATGAGACGCTTGAACAGACCTCTTGTGGCAGGTATGCTGTAGAGAAGAGTCGTCCCATGTGCACCTACCAGTACAGCATCCTTCCTGGACACTGTACCTGTAACATCCATTCTTAAGACGCGCAGCACGCAGCCAGTAATTGCGTTAAGAAAAATCTTATCTCGTCTCTCCTCCTGATCCAGCGAACCCATTTTGTCATCGACAGATGTCGTGTTTGCTCGAAACATACGTGTTGCGTTTCAACATGATCCTGTGCTATGTTGGGAGCCCTAGCAGACAGGTAGTTACACTCGCCTTGGCCATTGGGCTCCCAATGAAACCCACAAAGCTCCGAAGCCAAAACCACGAAGGACACAAAACTGAAACGAAAAAATGGTGACCACAAGACATGATGGCAATCCTCTAGGGCCCCTACCTCCTATATTTTACCACGAGTAATCTCCTCCCTTAGCAAGCCAAGCAGCCAACACGGAGATTAACTGACGCCAAAAGATGGTGTAGTCTATCCTCGGAAAATCTGGGTCTGAGGTTTATGCTGCGTTCAGGGTTTCGGGTTAAAGTTTTGGTCAAGGGCTCAACAAGGTGCAAGACCTAGCCACGCGCTCCGTCGCTGCATCTTCACCAAATCCCTAAACAATCCCACATGACATAACTCCTTCCTTGTCACTAGGGGCCCCTGACAAGGGAAGACGCTCTTTAGGAACCTGCAGGCAAGCTTCGTGGTCAAGTATCCATAATTATCCTGTTTGAGCCCCTATAACAACCCACTCTAACACTACAAAGCTGAGGGTCTGTGACTTCCTCATCAATGGCTCCAGCTCCTGCTCGGCAGGAAAAGCATGTCTGTGAGGGTTCAAGGTTTGTGTTTTTTAATGGCTTGGGATTTCGGTGACGACAGCTGGCCTGTTGAGGTTGGTTTGGAGGTTGTAGGGTAACGGGTTTTAGCTTGGCTTAAAGGCTCTTCGCAGGCTTTCACCAACCCAACCGGGTTTGTGTGTGCATCAAAAACTTTAAGGGCAAAGCGTTCCCAGTGTTGGCAGAAGCGTAGTTTAGCTCATCTTTGAGGCTTGCATTTTCGGAGGCTTGTAGCAGCGCCAAAAAACAGTAGTAATGGGAACACAACATCGTCTCTTTGTCAGCACGATTCCCCTGCATTGTATCAAACAAGGCCTTCTTCTCAAAAAACACCACGATAAGAGACCCAAACTCTCGACACACTCCCAAAGCCGCAACTCGACTCGGTGGCTTCGCAATGACGACAGCATCTTCTCTACCCCGGCCTCCTAACCCTACAACTGCCCCTATCCGTGCACCCTCCTTCCAAAGACCCACAGCTTCTTCACTCTTGGCGGCAAAGCCAAGCTTTTGGGTGAAGACCTCCTGAGAAGGGGTTTGGGGTATAGATCGCACCAGGTAAAGGGTATCAGGCTAAGAGTTTGTAGGGCGAAGTGCCCGCGATGTAGGGAATCAGGTTCAGAGCTTAGGATATCAAGGCTTTGGGGGTGGCGCATTGGGTTTTTGGTTGGGAAGCAAGAGAGAGCCCAATACTGCCTGATTAGGGACTATACCCTAAATCCTACATGGCACTAAGGTCCCGATTATGCATGAAGTTATATTCCTTAGTTAAGGGGTATTGGGCTCCCTGGGAAGTATGGGGGTTTCCCGTTTTCCATTATCCCAATATTACCCCGCCCCAACATAACCCCTATACTATAATATGCTAGAATATCCTATATAACCCCTTGGGGTTTTAGGCTTGCGGCTTCGAGCCAAGTGCTCAGGGTCACGCGCCGATGTTACCCATTTAAGGCACGTGCTCAGGGGTTCTATGGGGTTAAATGGTGGCTATATAGGGGTTAGATTGGGGTTAGATTGGGGTTATATAAGGGTTATATTGGGGGTTATACATATGTATATATATATATAACCTTCTTTCCTCGGGTCGCTAACATTCACCACGCCCATCCAAATCCTTGGCCCAAAGCTCTCAATCTCACACGTTAGTGTTATTGACAATAAGTCTTTTGCAGTCCTGTGCTGCGAAAGTCCCGGGTCATCCGAATTCCCCTGTAAAGTACTCCTGTAATCATGCGGGCCGCACAAACCCCCAACCCTATGTGCTAGTTGATGAAAATTCCTGTGTCCCAAAATGGCCACCATGGAAAAGATCTCACTAAACCCCAATCCCTAAACCCTAAAACTCAAAACCCTAAAACCCTATGTAACCCTCAACCTTTGTTGTCTCCCATCCTTATAGACTATAGGATCCTCAATCTCCTTCCCCAAAGGAACCCTTTGCTTACTGGTGGTTAGTAGGGAATAAGGGTTTAGGGTTTAGGGTGGTCAGTAGGGAATACGGGAATAAAGGGGCTACATAATATGGATCATGGAAGATCACATGGAAACTACTACATTACCATTGGGTCTATATCGGGTCCTTTTGAATAGATTCCCTCATTCCATACTAACCCACAGTAAGTATGCCGAAACCCTAAACCCTAAACCCCTAAACCCTAAACCCCTAAACCCTAAAACCCTACCCTAAACCCTAAACCCCTAAACCCTAAACCCCCAAAACCCTAAACCCTAAAACCCTCATCCCGTCCAGGACGGCATCGCGGATCTTCTGCGCCCCAGCCTCGATCAGCCTTACCGCCTCCTCCTGCGCGCGCCTGCTGTGTTTCATGAGGTTCTATAGGTATAGGGTTTAGGCTGCAGGATTTAGGGATTATATAGGCACCCTATAAACCCCCAGTTTCCATTAGTCTACCGTCTTGTTCATGCGGCCGTCCGTTGCTTAATTACGTCGTTGAAAAAATGTAGCAGCTTCCGTTCTGTTTTCCACTCTCCCTATATGCCCGCATAGCCCTACATAATTTACATGACTTGGGTATGTAGTCAATTAGGCTTCGAGGGAGCGCAAGACCCCGTAGTTAAGTTAAGGAGTATACCTAAAAAATCAAGGATCCTTCCATGATTTGCCGCGTAATCCTTAACCAACGTCCTCTTATTTAAGGAGTATAGCTCAAATCATACCAGGGATCCCAGTATGACCTAGGGTGTAATCAGTAATTGAGGGGTATTGGGCTCTCCAGCCTAGAGTGTAGGGTTTGGGGTGTAGGTTTGGGGCTGTGGCTTGGCGTTTTGGCGTTGTGCATGCTCAGAACAAGGTGATACATGTCAGCATGGAAGCTGAACACCATGTGATGAAGAGAAATTAGTGGCGACAGTCATCATGAAGAAAGTACCACGGGGATGACCCACACCGTGATCAAGATGTCTAGCTTTGGGAACCACGATCCGCATGAGGGTTCATCAGAAGGTACAAAGACCAAATGTATCACCCTAGTCTGACCCATATGGGAGCTTTAAGGGAATCATGCTCTCATCAAGAATCAGCTCTTGAGAAGCATCATCCACCGGGAATCCCCACAGATCTGTGGGATCCCCAAGTGTGCCCACTCCCACAGACCTAGAAACGAAACCCGGTAAAATCTGCAAGTAAGGCCAGGAGACTCCCTGAAGAGCACAGCAACAGAGGTCACCAGAGTGTGGTAGTTGGCCATCGCGGCCTGGTGCAAAAGAAAGGTTGTTCCAGGGTAATGTAGAATACGTTCAATTCCCAACTTAAGACCATTTTGGTACTATTCCCCATACAAACCACCATTTTGGGTGAGGTCGGGTGAGGTCGCTTTAAATTGCCCAGTGCATTGTTGGGATTTGCAGATCTCAGGTCTATGCATCGTTGCTCCGAGGCTTAGTTCAGATTGCGGAGGGGAGACACACGCGGAATGGCACCAACCCCCCCGATCGAGAACTCAAGGGCTCGACCCTAAGCCTTCAATTCTCAACTGTTAGGACGGCACCTGAATCCTAGACCTTAAGCCCAAACAAATCCGAACCCCTGTGAACCTTTGCACTCCTATAAACCTCGCGAACCCCATGAAGCTGTCAACCCTACACCCGAAATCCTTACAATCTCGGACCCTAAAACCCTTAAATTTGTCGCCGCTAGGAGTTCTGGCATATTTGTCCTGCACCTGCTCCATGAATCACCACAAAATCTACAAGCTCTCTAAGACGAAACACTCGAAAAAAGTCTAAGCCCTAAAAACCCAAATCTTGTAAACCATGACCTTTCTCAGCCCTAAAGGCCTAAAATCTTGAAAACTCTAAAACCCTCTAAGCCCTATGAGCTCTAAAGCCCTACGGCCTGGGGCTGATTCAGGAAACCATAGTGCTCCCCCGAGCCAGTCCTTGGATCTTAGAGATTTAGGGGATTTAGGGGATTTAGGGGATCTAGGGTTTAGGGTTTAGGATTTTGGGTTCTACGTGGCACTTAGGACCCCTACTAAGGGTTAACCCTTAGGTACCTAAAAAGAGTATAAGGGAATCCTGCAAGGTTAAGGGTCTAAGGTCCAAGCTAAGTTTCAAGGAGGGTTTAAGGGTTTCGGGTTCGGAGGTTTAGAGGTTTCGGGTTCAGGGTATAGGTTGCTTATACAATGATAAAATGGGGCCATAGATGGGCAAAATGGGGCTTGTAGAAAGACAAATGGACACTACAATTTGGAGTTTAGGGTTTCTGGTCAAGGGATATGACCCCCCAAACAATGGAGTATCAGATGGAACAAAACATGGAACGTGAAATGAAAACTAGTATGTAGGCTTTGGGGTCTAGGTTTTGGAGCACTGGCCCACCCACTAACACTCCGTAATAGTGTTAATATCCGGGCTATCTATGTATGCCACTATGCTGCAATTACTATCTAACTGTCATTGGGTAGGGGCAGTACCCAGGTTTCAGGGTTCATAGGGACAAAAGACACAAAGCGGTTTCTAGGTTCTTCTGAGCGTTCGTCAGGTTCAGGGTGTCGGGCTCCAGGGTTTCTGGTTCTGAGGATGGGATTTCGGAATTACAGCCTTGCTCAGGCGGGTTTTATAATGAGTTTGTCTGAAATCAAGCAGGGTAATTTAGAATACATTCAATTCCCCCCTAATTCAAGGCCATGTTTGGATTATTCCCTATATAAACCAACATTTAGGGTGAGGTCGGGTGAGGCCGCTTTCAGTTGCCCAGGATTAATGCCTGCATAAGCACGAATGTTATTCCCTCGCACTTCTTGAAAAGGGCCATATCCCAATCCAACCCTGTGAGCCTCATTGTGCTTGCAGGCCCCTTAAGCCAAGTCTCAAAGACTGAGGGTATATATTGGGGTCCTATTGGGGTTCTGTTGGGGTTATATAGGGATAATGGAAAAGAAAATGGAAGCTAGCGTAGTATATTCGGGTACCCGGTCTTGCAGGATCCAAATGATCAAGAGCGGAGACTCTCCATCTCCTTTGGAATGAGCATGGGTGAGCTTACGGTAGGGCAATAGACATGAAAAGAAAACGTATCGTCTACTGCATCTGAATTTAAAAGCTTTCTCACGTCTGACTAAGAGGCCATTTGGCAAAGAGCGGGTCGTAGCGGTCTATGAACCCAAAGGGGCCGTAGTCCATGGTTCGACCTCCGACCAAACCTGACATGCAAACCCGCGTGCTGGAGATCCGGATAGCTCACAATAGCACATGGGGGAGTTCTGCCATAGCTACTGCTATGTGGTAGTTTCCCTAAATGGGGGGGACCCCAATATAGACCCCAAAATACTATAGGCCTTATTATAGGGACCCCCAAAAAGGTACCCTTAATTTTGGGAAACCCCTATGTTAGCAGGCTCAACAGGAGCAGTGAGGTCCAGCTGGTCTAAGCCCATAGGCCTCCCATTCCACTCCCCAAGGGTGCAGTGGAACTATGATAGCTGCTGGTCGCAGAGAGATACGCTCATAGGATCACTGCACTAGACTTTGAGTTCTGGGAGCCATGATGTGAAGTAGAAGAAGCCTCCAAGGCAGACGACATTTGTTAGTTCTCCCGCAAAGCGGCCGCTACTTTCACAACCGTCCAAGTAGGCCGAGATTTTCCCAAGTACCTGTAATCAGGGTCTAGGGCCCTTAATAGTAGGAATGTAATGAGGGTCTTCGGATCTGCAGCTTTGTGAACCCTGGCGGTCCGTAGGTCTCTGAAGGCTCCTCGGACCATGTGAGCCAGTGGTTACAGTTTACAGTCTAAGGGTTTTGGGGCCAGAAGCAAACAATAAACTGACTGGCCTCAACAGCTGCCTTAGAAGAGG